TTTTTTTGTTTTGAATAATTATAAAACTTTCCCACTTAGTCAAATGTTTTTTTAGTTTTAGGATACTATTTTGTTCAGAATTTTTTTACACAAATATCTTATAAGTATCACCTCTAATAATTGTTATTTTTCTATAAAAAACTACACCAGTATAAAGATTATTTGTAAAATGTGAAGTGATTATTCTAATGGACCATTGTTTTTCTTGGAAGATCTATTGTACCAAAGATAAGGCAAAAAAAGATGATTAACTACAGCCAGTAAACGTTGCAGGCCTGAAAAATGTCTGTTAGACAGTCCAGACTTACCCAGGTCAATTAATCAATCTGCACTGTTTATAAAAGGTAAAACCTCATAAAGAAGTTTTTATACGATAGTGAAAAACACCACTAAAAGGTAAATTGGGTCCAATCATGCAAACCTTAGTAGGCCCAAAGTTGAAAAGAGATGTTTACGAACTGCAACTAGTGCCGCTTTGTAAAATTCTATTTTTTTTACTTTACGGCACATTAATAATTGACTGCGGCAGAATTTTTTTCTCATTTGGAAATTCCCGTATGTTTCATGAGTAATTATTCTGAAAGGAGGGCTACCTAAGTTGATTGTTGCATACTTCGTTCAAAGTCCACAACTCAACTGAACTGTAGCAAGAAATCTTCCATTCTCGACCCAAACTTAAGATTTGCTTTCACTTAGAATTCCCACCTCAGAGATAATCTCGGGCTGCACAGTCAAAAAGCTGATTTTCTAACAAATTAGTTTTTGTTTGAAATACTCTTTGGACAGCCACCTATTAGAAACAAAGTTGCAATACTAAAATTTGAAAAAATTTTGAAATAGCGCAATTTTATCTTCGTTTTACAGACCAGTTTCATATTCAAATTGGTTTTAATATTATTAGCAGCACATAATTGATTACTGCAGCTGTAATTATTTTTTACTGAGTTCTTATTTTTTACACAATAATCTCAATTAAATACTTTCTAACGATCTTTGTTAAACTAATTGACAAGAAGTAGTGAAGTATCTATCTTGTTTACATCCATCTGTGCAGATCATCTGCAGTTTTTCAGTAATGTGCAAAGTGCTAGACAGTAATTAAAATAAAAATGACATATAACTTCTATATGATTCTTTCGAATGGACAAAAGTTTAAGTGATCTTCGAAGGATTCCAAGGACGTCTTGTTTGGTTAAACCTAAAAAAATTTGTTCCTTGGTAAAAAGAGATAAGCTTTTCAACCGAAAAAAACCCACAAAAGGGAAATTAGGAGCACTAAAACATTGTGAAATGAGAGATATAGAAAAAAAACAATATTTTTATGCCAGTATAGCGAGACCGTGGACCTGCATTCTCCGAGTGTAAGTTCACTATAGAAGAAGAGATTCCGGTCAGAAAAATTGTTATTTTACTAAAAATTGCAGCAAGTAATGAAGCTTATTATGACAACATCACTCATCTGTCACATGTAATTTTGGGGAAGTACATATAATGGAGATCGAAGTCACATCGTTAATCGTTTAGATCTGATCAAAATGAAACCAGTAATGTCACAAAAAAAATCCTCTTCACTTCCATGTAATTATCTCTTTAAAAGAGCCGTCGGTTTTCGTCAAAAACATACAGTAACTTTTTAGCTTAGTTATTTTTTAATTCACGCTTTTAATTTCCTTTAATTTCCATACCAGTGTTATAGTATCACTAGTTGATTTTCACTTGGAATTTTATAAATCAACTGAAATTCTGTCTGAAAAAAAAAGGGTTCTACTTGCATCTTTTTAGAACTGCGCTATTTTTCACAAATACATATACAGAGTAATATCATCTAGTTACCGATGTAGATAAGTGGATACGTAGTTCCTGAGACTGCGAAAAAAAAAACTCATAAACCTTGTGGAACCGTAGTGATGGTCAATTAGTGCAATAAAAGCAGATCGCTTCCCTGGCCTTTGATTTTGATAGTATCAGCCTTTACTGCATTTGCTGCCTTTCATACAACGAATTCGCATTGAAGAAAACGTTGATATTGTTGCTCTTCCCGCAATAAAAAGAAAAAAAAATGGCTAAAATATATCTATTTAATAAGTCGCAGTTACAAATCGATCATTTATTGTTACCCTAAGTTGTAATCAAAAACTCTCGGCTTCCTTCACTATCTAATGCGAGGAAAAAGAGTGGAAAATAATACTAAAAAAGGAGAGTGAATAAGCTGGATGAACTGCTATTAAATTAGGTAGGCTCGGTATATGTGTATATAGATTTACATTACAGACAGTCGATGGCAGATTAATCGTTTGTTCGTCTACACATTTGTGTTTTTGTGTATGGTTTGTGTATGTGTGTGGATGAACTGCAGGGGGCTGCCGCTGTCACAATTAGAAGGGAGAATGCGGTGTTGCTGCCGCTGCTGTTGTTGCTGCTGCAGCCGCTGGTTGTGGTGGCAATGGACCAGGGAAAATAGCTGAAGATGCCGCCGACACTATTGCAGTCTGTGTCCGCATTGGCAACGGTTTGTTTGATTGGTTTGGCTGTAACCCTGGAGCGACGCTGTTTTACTTTAGGGGTGCAATAGGCCGGACTCCAAAAAGAAATCGTCAACACGAGTGGTTGCTGGGGTTTTATGCAGCACTTCTTGGCCTGTTGCTAATGTGTGGCTAAAAGGCGCATTAATGAAAACATTGCCCGCATTGTGCCAAAAAAATAAAGTGTTAGTTGGATAAACAGAGAAAATTGACAACCACTGGGATATATTTTATGACAAATTTTTAGAATAACAACTGATAGTGCATTTGTGTTTGAGTGTATATTTTTCTTAAAGTATTTCCGTTTGGAAACTGATTTTTTTTCGTCGCTATATTATTTTCTACGACTTGAGCAAAAGTCTTTTGCTTGTCGCCATTGATTTTCGTTTTCTTTTTCTGGTTGCACTTATTTCATTTTTTATAATAGCGATTTATCAAGGAATCTTATTATCTGTCATGTTATGTGGGATAATAATTTTTACCGTTTTTTCGTACAGGTTTCAGCCGTTACTATAATTAGTGTAAGATGAGTTGAACGGGATACCTGTATGATTTTACCATCCAAATTATGCTGAACAGATTATGGGCTAGAAATGTTTGATGTATATAATGCACTCTGCTTAGTTTCGTTTTCGGCTTCATCTTGCTATCATTTTCCCAGAAAATTACTACCGGATTTTCTGCTTGCCAGAATTTCCTGTTTTCTCATCAGAAGTTAAGCGACGGTTTTAAGAATTGCTTAATTTTTGCCGTTGATGACTGATCACCGCCTAGTCAACGTCATAAACTTTAACGCATCCTAATATTTTTTTGGTTATTTTATCTAGTTCTGCGTATATCTGATTTTTTTTTTTTAAACAGCTCAATGGCTTCGGTAAACTTGTAAAGAGAAAGACGTATTGTGTATTCATCTTTTCGTAGAGATTTTCAACCAAAGTTTCATATTTGGCTTTTTTTTTTCCTTTGCTCTTCCTGCTTGGAACTTTTTTTTAAAATATGCGTGAGAAAGCAAATTGTACACGGGATCCACCAACATTACAGTTTTTTCTTCACTGAATTTGAAGTAACCGATTAGAAGAAAATCGCATCCTGATGCAATTATTAATGTAGCCGATTTAAGATAATGTTATTGATTTTGCTGAAGGTTACGGCAGTTCAAAATTAACTGTTTGAAAAACAGTTTGGTTAGGCTTGAGTGATTACGGAGTTTATGCTGCAAAGTTTCACTTTTCATTTTATCTTTCACTGTGTAAGCGAGAACTAACTTGTTTTTCAACAACACTTTTTAAAGGAACTTTAGTGTGATTGTATGAAAGTGTATGGTTTTCTGCAAGATTTTTCCATATTTGTTTGATTATTTGCCCGATTGTCTGCTACATTATTATCGTATCGATATAGCAACTGTCGTAAGTGGTTTTGGGAGACTTGGTACTGATTTCACTTGCTTAGTAAATAACACGATCATTCTTATCATATTCCACACTATCTTCATAGTGTTTCTTGGTTCAGTTTTGGTTTTCAATCCAGTGTTGTTGGAATATTTTACAGGCATTTATTTGCGTTACATGGCCGACGAAGCACTTCTGGAAATTGAAGATGCAGAAAATTTATTTGTAAGACGGTTACCGTCGCGTGAAAGAGAATCAGCAGTAGCTAGCCCACTTCAGGTTGAAGTTCTGAAGAAAAATTTTTCCCAGAAATTTAGCTTTCTCCTTTTCTGTTTTTTTTTTTTTTTTTCACGGGTTGCTTAGTTTTTTGATGTTCCTGTTTTATTCGCAAAATCTTGTTGTTCGTAGTTTGTTCATTTTCTGTCCAAATTTTGGTTTCTGTTTCTTCGACTAGTTATTTACTTCTCTGGTCAGAGCGGTACGTAAAGATGGCAGGAATATCATTTAGAAGGATGTTTTAATGCTCTTTGACGTGATTATTCTTTTCTGATTTCTTTTCATTTTTACTTTTCAGAACAATTCTTCTAACGGTCTAGTATTGGAAGATGGCCCATCTTCTTCAGGAAAAATTAGTCCTACAAATGTTCGTACTTACATGTTTTCGTAACTTCTTGATCGTTAATTTTTGTTTTCTGGGAGGGAGTTTCATTTAATTCTCGTTTTAAACTTAACTTCAATTCGCTTTCAAGCTAATTTTTTTGTCCATCTTTCAGGATTCGCAGTAACTTCAATGAAGTAATTTGTTTTTAGATGTCAGATTCAAAGTTTCCCAGACTGAGCGACATGACGCAGGGTTCAGGTTGTTTTACAAAAGGGTTAGGCGATCATCTTACTAACGATGCTGCCTGTGGCTCTGAGTCGCTACGTTTTGATGATACCGCGCATGTTTCTCGCGGACGAGGTATTTTTTAATTTGAGAATAAAATTTTGAAAATGCTGTCAGTGTCTAACTTTATCGTATGGATTGGGTGGTAAAAACGACAGCTTGTTAATTACCATTCTAGATGCGAAGACTGAAGGTTCTATCAAGTTGAATATTTCAAATTTTGTCTCATTAAAGCAAAAGGTCACTACGTCATTTTACATGATCGCTAATCTTCCGTGGTTAGTTATTCGGCTGCTAGGACTTTGTTTGTTCATTTTATTTTTCAGGTTCACGTTTATTTCATCTGCTCATGAGTGCAAAAATATCTGTTGCAGGCGGCTAGCTGCGAAGACGGAGTGCACGAAACGTACTAGTAACATGAAGTTCTTCAGTGTTTATATTGACTGTAATCCCGCAAGCGAGTCTACTCTGTGGAGTTGCGATGCTATTGTTGAATTTCGGTTGATATCGCATAAATCGAACATACCCCATTTTAGCCGTCAGGTAATTTAAGTGTAGTAAGAACATTCTATAATTGCCATATGAAATTAAATCTGGTTACATTTTCTGGACCTCATCGCAATTATTCATTAGCAACGCAGTTTAATGTCGAGGTGTTTTGGCTTTTGTACACTTTATCTACTTTTTATTAAGAGGAGGATTTACTTTGAAAGACCTCTTTTCTGCTTTGTATTTCTTATTTTTACTTCATTAAGGCTCATTATCGCCCAACAGGTTTACTGTAGCGTGACAGATTCTAGATTTTTTTTATTTTAGTTTACGAATAAATTCAGTTTCAACTCGAATAACTGGGGTTTCCCCTCATTTATGGAATGGAACGAAATCACAAACCCCGAAAAAGGATACATACGTGGTGATCGAGTCGTTGTTGAAGCTCATATTACGATTCAGAAAGTTGTTGGTGTTAGGTTAGTGTGTCTGTTGATTTTTTTTTTTCTGCGGTACGGCGTGGGACTGGGATTGTTTAGTCGGTTATCTTATCCCCTGGTATTTACGCTTTTTTTCTTTGAGGAGGAGCCCCACTTTTGATTTCACAGTTTCTCAGCCGTACGTGTGTGATGGGACATTTGTTGTTGACGGAGTGAGGCTACATGTTAGCAAAGCTGTAAGTTTTTTGCTATTCTCTCGCAATCTTTCTTAATGACCGCATCTTGCGAGTTCTTTAGGTTCGGTACTCATAATTCATATAGTTTTGTTGAAAATGTGGTTCTTCACAGAGGGAATTCGAATTTAATGTCGCAATTTAGTTCTTGTAGTTGCTGGATCTTTTTAGTTTTCAAGAATTATTTTCTTGTCCGGATGTTGTTTTGGAAGGCTTGGAGGACCGATATTTTTGTGAAATCTTTTAGTTTTTTAGTGTTAACCTTTTTAAAGCATGTGTTTTTGACTTACGTTTATGGTAGTAAATTTTACTTTAGAGGTTTGTTGCTTCAAGAGTAAACTGCAGTTAATGATCTTTTTAGTATTTGGCCCTCTATTCACCAGTATTTCACGCACTGTTTTTTTCGAGGTTCAGTGAACGAGATAAAAAAGAAATACCAATTGAAGATGTCATCCTCGATGAGTTTGTAGAACTGCTAAACGTTGTATATCCGTCTCATAAGCCTGTTTCAGGTGCAGCCGCTTATAGTTTTTTAATTTATTTTGTTTAATTAACTTTCCCTTACTCAGACGACTTTAATCTGTCGCACTTCGATCCAACCATTCATTTTTGGTTTTTGGGAAAACACTGTTTTTGTGATATTAGGGGTAAGTTGTTCTTTCGAGTAGGTTGCCTAATGTGTTACTTCTGTAGCATTTTTCACAGCAAGTTTGAATTACTTTAATTTTGCAAATCTTAATCGTCTAGCGTGTTTCATCAGTGGAATTGAGCCGGTCTAAAAATAAATAATTTCAGCTGAGAACGTCGAGTTTCTTTTGGAGTTGGGAGACAAATTTGAAATCCAATTCGTTATTGATGAGTGTGAGCGGTTTTTAATGCGGTCTGATGATATTTCTATAGCAACGAAGCTGTTATGGGCTGATCAATATAGTCTTGCGAAACTTCATGTGAGTGATTGTTTTGAAGACCTTTATTAATACTGTCTTGGTTTTTGCTTAGCTTATAGCAGTCAGACTTCTGTTTCAATACAGTTATTGCGCTTGGAACGCAAGCATTTTGTGTTTATTGTATCTATTATCTATAGTGTTTGATTCCACATAAGAAAACTTTTAAGGATGTTTGTGTGCGAACGTTTAAAAGCCCTATGGATATCAAAGCTTTAAAGAATACTGAGGAGTTCAGGAGCCTTAGCGATGTCACAAAAGCTGCTCTTCTTGAAAAAATACTGAAGTTACTATGAATTTTTTTTATACTTACTGTCATCATCATTTGCTAGTCATAATGCGGTAAATTACTCTATACATAGCTCTGTTATGATTTGCCCAAAAATCTATGGTGTTTCGCCAGCTATCCTGTTTGGAATTCGTGTTCTTCTGCCTCTTCAATCATTCCCTCATTAACTTGTGTTCGCACTGTTTCAGTTTGTATTGTATCAGGAAATCTGGGTGCAGTGGTAGTTACTGCTGAAGCAGTGATTTTCGTTTTAATTTGTGATATAATTTATTGTATTACTGTTATTGTATTACTGTACTCACAGTCGTTCTTTGGTGATGAAAGTGGACATTTTTAAATCGGTGTTATTTTAGTCAGGAAGTGACTGCATATCTCGTACTTTATTTATTTATTTTTTTTTTTTTTGCTTATTTTAGAATTACTAAGGAACTGGGTGAATAAAATTTGATTTTTCAGTGGATGTGAGCGAGTTGAAATTTTATTGTTATGACCGTTCTGATCTGTTAGCAATTTAGCTAGAGCAGCTTTAACGAACGCTTTTTTATTCTAGGTACAGGGATTTTGTGTTAAAACTTAAGAGACTCGAGAATTAAAAACGTTTTTGGAATACAACAAGTCGATGTAAGTTGGTGTTATTGAATTACAAGTTAGGTGTTCTGCGTAGGAAAACGGTTATGAGCACCAATATGCATAGGTAAAAGTTGGTTGCTTTCCGGAAATAAGCCCTACTGGCAAAATTATATTGCGGTATCCTACGTGTTTCGTGGCCTATGATGCTTGGTAGCTTTTATTCGTTCTGTAAAAGTTGTTGGTTGAATTAGGTGACGTTGCAGAACGTCAGTCGTCATAAAGTAACTGCGAAAATGTAATAAATTATCTAGTCGTCAGGAAGTAGCTCAAACAATATAAAAACACTAACTTTAAGAACAAAAAAAATGAGCAACATTTTAAGAGAATTTTATATAAGGGAAATTAAAGATGCTGAAGAGGGTCTCAAGAAAATTAATAAGCTACAACAGTCAAGTGAGAAAGAAGACCGCACGGTATTAATCAGAAAATCGAAGGAGTATATGAATAAAGGAAGGATACAGATAAAACTCGTAAGAAATAGTCCAGAACAATTAAGAAATATCTATGACGAATGAATAAATTCTTCCATGGAAGAATTCAATGAATAGGAACAATTTGGTGTACTGATGGAGGTTTCTTTAAGAAGTGAGCAGTTAAGGAAAGCTAAGAAAACCATAGCTATTTTGGAAGCTATAAACAATGCAAGAAAAACTTGCAAGAATTGACAGATAAAAGAGATGGAGGAGGAATCACTTATTTATTTACTCCAGCCATCCCTGACTTTAGTGAAAATTGACTGTTGGCCCTTCTTTTGGAATACCTTTGAAACATATACAGGCAAAAATAATTACTTAGATAATACGCAAAAATTATCCCAGTTAATGAATAACTTACTAGGAGAAGTTGAAGAGCTAGTGGAGAGATACATGATTACTTCTAATAATTACGAATTAGTTAAGAAATTTCTGAAGGAGTGATTTGATGAACCTAGTGGAGGTGTAAGGCTTCTGCTTGCTGAATTAGATAAACTTCCAGTGGGCGAGCCACGGGGAGTTACAAAATTAATACAAAAAATTGAGAGAATTCTACAGGAATTAGAAGTGTTTAATACAGATGTTAACCAGGAAATGATAAAAATCATAGTAGAAAGCAAACTATCCATGGAAATATTAATTTTTATCAAGAAACAGCGGTATGAGGACCCGGAGTGGAATATGATTGAGCTAAAAGAAGCTTTTAGGAAATATTTAAAGAAACTTCACAAGGTAAAGAGCTAAGTCAGCAAAAGATAATTAGAACAACCGTGCCCTCTAACAATAACAAAATAAGCTCAGTTTTCACAACTAAAGAAATTAATTAAGGACGCAAGACTCGACCAGATAATGTGGGAAGAGAAAAATCAAACATAAATATAACTAGAGGTAGAAAAAGGGAGGAGATTATGAAAAAGAAATTGAGCAGTTGTGTAATGAGAATCACAGAAATACGCAATGTTCCAAATATTATACAAAAGACAAGCGAAAGAAACGGTCTTGGAGGGATTCTACTCCAAGACTAGCAGATAATTTTGGGCTGTGCATAGGACGATTGCGGTCAATGTGGAATAAGCTGCGACTCAAAGAAGAATTATCACGGCGGTAACACTGTTAGAAATCGGCTAAATCAGGGTACAAATGAGCTAGAGGATTCGACAAATGATAGTAATCTTGCGCATTACTTGCCACATTAACCAGTACTTACTCCACAAAAAAATACCACTAAAGTACGTATAGTATATGAAGCGTCAGCACATACAACAGCGGAATAAGTCTTAACAAAGCTTTGTTAAGAGGTCCAAACCATTCTGGAATTTTGTTAAGATTACGAAGAGGCAAGTATGTCTTGGCATCGGACATTGAAAACGCTTTTCTACACCTAGAAACTAATCCGTTCGACCGCGATGTTGCACGATTCCTGTGGTTAGAAGATCTTTATAAGACTCCTGCAAAAAATAATTTACTTATTTGTCGATTTAAAAGACTACCACTTGGAATAACAATTATTGATAGGCGATCAGGATGAGATCGGCTGGAACAAAACTGCGACCTCATATTGTGGCGCAACCACCAGAAGGGTTTGATCCATCGGTCGATGATATTACTTTGTGGTTAGCCAGGTTTGACATTTTTGTTAGTATTTCACTGGTAGATGAGGATCATAAGAGATTCTACTTATTGAATTCACTGTCTTCCGTTGTTTATCAAGCGTTGGCGGCATTTGTGAAGCCCCAAGAGACAACTTCATTGTCGTATAAAGATTTGAAGTTGAAGCTAACAGGGATGTATGAGACTTAAACGCTCCTTTTTTTTGAAAGATATCATTTTTTTTATCTTAAACAGGAGGCAAAAAGTTATCTGGAATTTGCTACATTGATTATAAGGAAAGCAGCGTTTTGCGAATTAGGTGATATTTACGTGCCTGCTCTTGCCTTGGTATTCACTATGGGTAGTAATGACTCACAGCCACGTGAGAAGTTTCTTGAGATAGAAAATTGCACGCTGGAGCAAGCGTTGGCCATAGCGCAAAAAAAGGAGCAGATCACTACGGAGGCAACTCGTATTAAAGCCTCGGGTCTTATTAAATCTGCACAAACCACTGCACAATTATCGACCAATGCAACTTCCTTGCCGCAAATCGCAACCGTGGCACAATATGGACCTTGTTTGAGTTGTGGCGGTAATCATAAAAGACAAAGCTGCAACTTCAGGGAGGCTAAGTGTCACAATTGCCATCGGAAGGGTCATATTGGAAAAGTCTGTAGAGCAAGATGTGCTACAGCAAGAGGACAGAAGTTCGAATCGAATAACAATAGCTCACATACTGCAGCGAGTCCTCAAAATAAGTCAAACCCAGCACGTGGTGCGTCAAGGCATAAAAAAAGTAAACAACGAGTAAATCAAGTTTCGGAAAATCCTAAGACAGGTCTGTTTTTTGTCACCTTGAAAATTAATGCACATATGATAACAGTACAAATGGATACAGGATCACCCTTTAAGATTCTTAGCAAAAGGGCACGGGGAGAAATTGGATCTCCCTAACTTTCTCCGGTGACAATTCAAGCATACAGTTATTAGGCGATTCACTTGTCTTTGTAGGAAAGGCCTGCGTATGAATTCAGTACAATGGGCTGTTGGTGAATTCTACAATTTGAGTGTCCGAAGTTGCAGTTGACAGTGTATTAGGAAGAGATTTAATATTCCAACTTAAAATAGACAAAATTTCGTTAAGTTCTTTTTGTAATGCTATTGTATCTGATGCAACCTTGAACAAATTGTTTTCAA